ACTGAATTAGGAGGTCTTTAATTTCCCTGCTCAACTTAGATCCCTCGTAAACAAGATGTTTTGGCTCCTCATCAAGCTGAATAGGCTTCAGCTCTTTCAATGGCATTGGCTTAGTCTCTAACTCGTCTCTCATGTCGAGCTCATCCAAGTGGATGTTTTCAACTTCTTTTTTTTCATAGATGTCATGTAGCACTCCCGCGCTACACGTTGGTCTCCTCGAACCACTCCGATTCTATTTTTCGTTGAAAACTTCATGACGAGGTGGTAGGCAAAAGGGATGGCCCTCATGGCATTGAGGGAAGGTCTTCCAAGCAGGATGTTGTATGCTGAAGGTGCATCAACCACTAGGAATCTCACAGCAGTGGTGGCTTGGTAGGGAGGATCTCCCATAGTGAGCACTAGTTAGATCGATCCTAGGGGTAGCACCCTCTCCCCTAAAAATCCTAACAAATGATCACTTACTAGCTCGAGTTTTTCTCTGCCTTTATCCATTTTTGTCAAATACAAACGAGAAAATGATGTCAGTAGAGTTTTCATTGTTAATCAAGACTCGATGGACGGTTCTGTTGGTAACGATGACCCTCACCACCAAGGGATCATCAGTGGGATGCTGATATCCTTCCAAGTCTGAGTCTAAGAAATTTATAGTCATGTTAAGCCGGGGTGTCTTGGACACGGTATGCACTTCTAGAATCTTGTCAATTCTGATTTTGTGCAGGTGAGCCTTCCTAGCTGAGCTACTTCGCCTCCTGCAAATCCTCCGAATATCACTCTGATCTCCTCCCAAGACTGTTGATGTTGCGCAGACACCTGCTGCTGAGGTGCTAGAGGTGGTGGAGCTCGGTTCTGATTATCAAGGGCCACAAAACGACATAGTTGTTCCCGCTGAATCAGAAACTCAATTTCTTTTTTCAATTGGATGTAGTCATCTGTGAGGTGGTCGTGGTCCCTATGATACTCACAATACTTTGTTGCATCACTTTTCGTAGGGTCTGCCTTCATCTGGGGTGGCTACCTCAAGAATTTCTCATTTGCACTTCATATAGGATTGAGACACTGTCGCGGTGAGAGGAGTGAACTGCCAAGGTGCATACCTCGGCTATAACTCTAGCTATGGAGGACCTAGGCGATCTTTGACATCTCCTATTCTTTTGGAGGAGTGATCTCTGTCTCTTCTTGGAGACCTATCTCATCATCTCTCTTTCCTGGGCTTCAATCCCTTTTCTTTTCTTCTTTCCCTTTTTTCTTCTACGAAGATGAGCACCCTACCTTAGAAAGGAGGGTTTCCTCGCCATTGATATACTTTTCTGCCTTGGCTAACACTTCTACCATACTTGCTTGTGGGTTTTTTGATATGGAGAACATCAAGTCTTTCGACTGTACTCCTAGCCCAACGATGAAAGCAGTGATGACGAACTTCTCATCTAGAACATCTATCTTCAGGGATTCTGAGTTGAACCTTTGGGCATAAGATCTCAAGTTTTCGCTGGGTCCCTGCTTTAAATTCAACAAGTGATAATTTGGCTTTCGGTAGGTCTGAGCTCCTATGAAATGGGGCACGAAAGATATGGAGAGCACATTGAAAGAAGAGATTAATGTTGGGGGTAGCCTGTTGAACCATGCCAAGACTGAGCCCTTTAGTGTGATGGCGAAGGCCCAACATCGTAAAGGGTTCTAATACCAATGCAACTCCATCTGGTTCTTGTAGGTATTAAGGTGATCCATGAGATCTTTTGTTCCATCAAAAGCATCCATTTAAGGCATTCTGAATTTTGGACAGAGGGGGAAATGCAGCACATCAGCGGTGAATGGGGATTCAGTCTGCTGCACCAGGGCATCCATGTTACTGGAGTCTTACCCCTCACACTTCTTTCATGTAACTGAGCTCTTGTTGGATGTCCTTGAAGCGCTGCTCCCAGTACTGTTCTCTCCTTTCCTGCTGAAAAGGGAGAAAATTATTTTTCTCGATCTCATCATTCTGACTCTGCACTTCTTCATTGTCATCATTCCTAGGAGATGGATGAGGAGCTTGTCCCATGGCCTGCCTATTCTCACCTCCTTTGTTAACTTCCCTGAGGGGATCGAGGTGTTGATGCTCCCTTTCTGGGGGACCTCCTTGGGCTAGTTATGCCTGCTAAGGACCTTGTAGGAGCTCTTCGTTTTACTGCCTTAGAAGCTGGTTGACTAGGCGAAGAGCCTCCAATTTGTTATTCATTGGGGGATCTGTCATGGGAGGATTGGTCTTAACGATGGGAAAAAAATCTTGAAGATTTTCTTGTTACCTTACGCTAGTGGCCTCCTGTTGGTTATGCATCTATGGAGGATTCATTTGACTTCTACTCATTTTATATGTAAAGACCATCAATTACTGAAAGAATTAGCGTATTTGTAACAGGAACAATTGTTGCCATAAACGGTGCCAAACTGATGGTAATCTAAACGTGATGGAACAGATTATGTATGAATGGGGTTAGAACTGAGCTACAAGGCTCTAGTGATTCTAATTGAACAACATTTAGGTTCAGAAGGGAGAGATTATGCTGAAGAATTATAGTAGTTCGCTAGCTCAGAAGCTCAGCTAGTTCGCTCTTTTTAAAAGTCTCTTGCTCCATACTCTTTTATTTAAGATGGATAGTAGGTTACAAAATCTTCTTCGTTTTGAAGGGATTTTTTTCTTCTAGTGAGGACTTTTTATAGTATTTATAACCTAGTTCCTGATTCAGAGGGGACTGCAGCGAGATCTTCGCCCTTCCCTTGTAACGTCTTGTTTGATTCTAGGCAATGGTTGTGGCGGTTAAGGATCTTTCGCTTAGACTGGCGCTTCCTATTGTGGAGGAGGCGCATTGTGGTTTTCAGCTGTCTTCCATGCATCTTCTTCGGGGGTGAAGGTTGAGGGGATCCTAGACCTAGATTGTCGAGCTTAGGGTCTCCTGGCTAAGCTCCCTTCATGACCTCAACTACCGAGCTCAAACTTGAAATTTCTTTAGGGTATCATCAAGTGGTATCGTACTTAAAGTTAAGTTATAATTTAAATGGCATGATCAATTATGGAAGATTGGGATCGATACCAAGAATTCATGATTGTGCATGGGTTTTTGTGATTGATCATGACATTCTCTTGAGGAGTTGTAACTTCTACTTTCAAAATTATAATTTTACCATAAAAATGATAGCTGACAGTACTGTTAATGTTTATACGTTTATATGTTTGTCTCGCATCATTTAGACTAACAAACCACATTATTCTCTTTTACTATAAATCAACATCCTCATGTATATGATAAATTACACCATAGTAATATACAATAGATACTCATTTTCTATTATCTTATTTCACATTATATCTGAGTCTAGACTTGTGAATCCTTCTGATCAGTGATAGTATACTTTGTAGTTGACCTACGAGGGATCCTCCGTACTAGAACACGAAGAGCGTCTGAAAATGCTTAATCTTCTGTAGGGAGGACTGAAATGGTGGGTTCAAAAGATGCCTTCCAATTGTTTTGAATTTTTGGTCAAGATTAGAGAATCTGGAAAGTATATATATGTTGCTAAGCGAGTTTCTTCTTATTGAACTAGAAAGTTAGCCTGGAGTATATGTTTTCACGTGCTCTTGTGTTTACTGTAGGGTCTACCTTGTCTACGCTAGAACTTTGCAGAATTTCGAAAACAGGCCTAAATACCTATGTGTGGCTTTATGTATGTTTCCGTGTGCTCTTTCAAGCGGGAGGACAGGCTTGAAACTTACTGACTGCTTACTTTGCTCTGGTGGGGGAGCTTCCTGATTTAGAGACCAAGTCGGCCACCGGATCTTGCAAATGTATTGTTTCTATTAGGAAAAGGACTGTATTGGTTTTCTTTAATTTTCTATTTGCTTGGTTACCATTGACCTTCTGGGTGGTGCCATGCTGTTTGATTTCACCATGCATGATAGTCTGTCTGTTGTATGTTTCCGGANGAATTGTTGTATTGTTGGATTTTGCGAATTTGGGTATTTTGGCCAACATGGAGGCTAGGGGTTGGAGTATGTATTTGAGGAATGGTGGTGATAAGGTGAAAGATCTAGTGAGGGAATTTTATTCCAATGTCTTGATTGTGAACNACCATCCATGAATATTGAACTGTTCTTCAATGTATATCTATTCTCCTTGCAGTGATATTATAATATACCTGAGTGTGTTTGTGCGTAAATGTGATGGCCGGTAATCTTTGAGATGGAATTACTTCTGATATCCTTGATTTGATCTACTATTCTTAATTTGTCTGAAAAGTACCGTTTGCTAGAGCATGGCATGAACAAGCTGACCTGGCAAGGGCTTACTTTACTTTGACAAAGCAGCAAAAAGGATGAAGAAGTGGGCTGGTAAGAAGAGGAGGTTGGTGGAGTTCGAGAAAGCAGACAGTCCTTGTGAAGTTCTTAACCCAACAGTGCAAGACCCTAAGGAAGGTGCAAATGTGTTGATAAGGCGCTATGGACTGTTTCTTATCATTCGACTTGTAGGAAAGGTTCCCTACCATGTTCAACTTTCGCCCAAACTCAAGATACATTCAGTCTTTAATGTTAGTCTCTTCCAGTTTTATCATCAAGACACTGAAAATCCTAGTAGCGGATAATCGAAAAGGGCACCAACTGTCATCGTCACTTCATTTGACAAGGACATAAATTGTACCCTTGCCAATCGAGTGATCCGGAGAAGAGTCATCCCCAACTACAAAGAATACTTAGCTAATTTTTTTTTAAATTTTATGATTTAATACGATAAAATTATGACTCAAGTAGATAAAATTTACAATTCATTGAGATTTCAAAATATTGTCATTGGTCCCAACATCTATTTAATAAGATAGTTAGCACTTTGAATTTTATTCTGACATTTTTTTACCTATTTCTATCACAAGTTAAACATTTGATTTTTGATTAAATTAAAAAAAAAATCACCATCAAAACCATTAAAAAAAAAATTGGTATCAAGTTTTGGTTAGATGCCAAGAGTCCAAGATATCAACCCGAACAACTGATTTCTAGTCATCTACCACCACTAACCACCATACCGACCTGCAAGCAACTCAAAATCCCAATAGGCCACCACCGTCACCATCGATGGTCGAACCATCGCATCAGCCCATGTGATAGTTGACATAGAAAAATGTTTCCATGAACCAAAAATGAATGACTGATTTTGAGAAATTAAGAAGAGGCTAAACCAACCAATTGCTGCACAATTTCTACCTCAAACCCAACCTTTGAAGGGTATAATTTATTCAATTCCAGCATTTCTGACAAAAATTAGAAAATCACCATCTCTTATCAACTCAATTTCATCAATTTCAGCTCCAGCTATATTTAAAATTTTATCCGCCAAGAACCCGTATTTTTTAACACCAATCTCCAATAGCTCTCTAAAGCTTTGTGGTAGTAACACTAGCTTTCCAGCAACATCTCCTTTCCCAGGGCAACTTATTACCACTCTAGCAGAATAATTACTTTTAGCCTGGTCTACAGGTAGTAACAAGTCACTATCCACGCCTCGCATGATTCCAAATAGCGAGTTGTAGAAGTTGATAGTCCTACGCCTTGGACGTGATTGAATCCACGATTCCTCTGGCATTGGAGATGTGCCTTCATGGGAAACTGGTACAATTGTTGGCTCGCTTTTAAATCTCTCAAGGAAGCGAACCCCATGCTGCTCCTCTGGGACTGTCTTAACAAATTGAGTTTTGGTCTTTTTACCAGACTGGAAGAGAATTTTTATGTCTTCATGTCCTTGCTGCTCTGCTAGGTCCACCGGGGTCCAACCATGGTTGTCTGGTTTGTTGATATCGGCTCCTTGGTCCAAAAGAAAATTGACCATCTCTGAGTTGCCTTCACAAACTGTAACATGGAGGGCAGTAGATCCAATGTTATTGGGGCGTGTGACATCCCCTCCATGATGAACAATTTCCTTGAGCAATCCCAAGTTGTTTTGCTTGGCAGCAGTGCATGCAAATTGACCAACATCACCAAATGATATTTTAGCTCCATTGTCTACGAGTAGTTTGATCACAGGTTCATGATTATTCAAAATGGCCTCCCATAGTGGCACATTCCCATCTGCATCTGTTTTAGTCAAAATCGATTAGGAAAATTATAACATACCCCTTATCATTCATATCTCAACCCAAAAAAAATACTCTAGAATAATAAAAAGCATAGTTGACATTAAGAGAAGTTTAAATGTTCCCAAATAAATAAAAGGATCATGCACAGTACAATTCAGAAACACTGGTTTAAGAATTGTTTATATAGAACCAAGTGGAGGAAGAGGATAAAAATATGCAACGAGTTTAAATGAGAGTTCATGACCACAAAATCGAGGCATATGCCTTGGTTGACAAGAGAGACAGACTGCAAACTGCAAACTGCACAGCTGCAGATCATTAAGGACTTCAGTTATCTGTCTCTATAAGATAAGGTAAGCTAACAATATGATGAGATAGGTAGATACATTGGATTGTGATTGTAGATATGCTTAAATATGAATACATGAGAGACTTTAATTCAGGAAAGCCAACGGACATGAAGAAATATTAATCTGTCCTCAAAAGGCAAATTATAGTGTTGACTTGTCAAGGCTGTGTACAAAAGCTACCTGGATCCAACCGCCATATTTGAAGAATCAAAAACAACTCCTAAGCAATAATGATCTCATTATATTACAGAGCTGGGATTTTTTTTCTTTTGTTGTGCGTAGTATTTTTTTTTTTGAGGGGGTGGGGGGGGATTAACATAAATTGCACATACAAGATTTCAGTTATCATGTATAGAAATGGAAAATTAGCTTTCGTGGGGTCAGCAGAAACTTCCAAGATAGATTTCATCATTTCTGTTGGAAAAATAAATCTATAATAACTACCTGAAGTACTAATGAGTCACTTACATGCTAAATTTGGAAACTAAAGCTTACACAAAGAATACGGTAAGTGAAACAAACCGTGTGGTAAACATTGGTAAAAGGAAAACAATATAGGCGCCATGTCATTAACAGAAACGACAAGAGAGATGTAGCAGGGTGTTGAGTAGATGATTGGATAGAGCAATTATGACACGATCAGAAATGCAGGTGCCATGAACACATTGAATGTGGATTTGGATATATGCAAATGCAACAAGAACTTTAAACAGACACAAGTGAAATAAGGCTACATGTTCAGCAGAGTCTTTTATTCTTCTTTTTTGTGTCTTACTCTTAGAGTGACTGCATATCAGGAATTTCCTATTTAGGATGACAAATAATAGTTCTGTTTAATAAATAATAAGCCAAAGAAGCCTGGTGTAGTTTAGAGCATGATTACACATAGACCAAAATCAAATATGCAATTTTAGGATATGTGGTAGACTTGCAATAATTGAGGAGTGATAAGATGTTTACAAAAAACAAATTAACAAAATAATAGACTCAACAGAGTGCTTGTTAATTGCTAAAAAAACAGACTGTAAACCCAGTAAGGTGAAATGTACTCATTTAAACTGCCAACAAATCAACTTTGGTTATTGATTCAGTAATAGACAAGAAGTCACCTCTACTATTAGGATGCGCCCCATAGTCCAGTAGAAGAAGTACACAGTTCTCGTTTCCTTTTGATGCAGCAATATGCTGAATTTGCATAACACAGAGAAATTAAGGAATACAAATTCCTGAAATTGTCATAGTAACATAAAGTAAAATATGTAATAAAAGATTTTCACAAACCAGGGCTGTCCTCCCATTGTTGTCAAATTCATTTGGATCAAGACCGCGTCTCAACAGTTGTTTCAACAAGAAGTCATCTCCTCTAAGTGTTGCAAAGCAAAGGCTGAGAGGTAGGTCCATTCTACCACGAGCTAGCATGTTTTCCGTCTCCAACAATACTCCCTCCATAACAGGGTCTTTTAAATCCTTCAACTGCTGCCCAATTAAACAAGGAAAACAAGTTTAATACATTTATATCACAATTCATTGACAAAATAAAGAATACCTAACATATATATGTGCATAGACTTACTATGATTTGAGAAACCTTGAAAAAACTATTGAGTGAGTATAGAATTTGTCGAGAAAAAGGTGGCAGCAGTATAAAGAAGAAAATGTACTCTAACTAAATAATAATCCTCTCTTCAAGTAGGTCTTAAGTTTACCAATTTGATGAAGTTATGTTTGTGCATACTGAATAACTTCCAAAGTCTTTTGGCTGATCCAACTATACTGACCTGAAGGAGATTGTTCATGATGATGGTCCCATCTCCAACATTTGCCTGAACAATATTCAAGAATGTTGCGCGGTTCAGTCGAAGTAGTTGGCTCAATCGTTTGGTCCGCACTGTAAAGAGCTGGGGCCTGTAGCAAAGAACCCCAATCTCACCACAGAGATCACCAGTTTTAGCCTCTCCAACAACCTGAATGATTTATAGTACAATTCAAGTCTATGCTCGATGTCTTAACAAACTAGGAGCAACATACCAAACAAAGCATTTAATGAAGCAATCATATGTACAAACAATCATGCTACCTTACCTGTTCAGCACCATTTTTGAGAACCAGCAGATCCTGCAAAGCAATTTAAATCAGTGGGAGAAGAGACCAAAATAAAGAAATTCCAGCTGGTCAATTGAAATAAGTCCACAAATATCCTATTCATCTGGTTCATAAGCCATTAAGCACAAAACTAAAAAATTAGGGAAAGAAGAGTGGCCATTACCACAGCTCCTGTAACAAGTATGTAGAAATCTGTGGGTGCTTCATTCTGCAAAATGACATCTTCCTTGGGAGGAAAGTACTCAGCTGTCATCTCAGAAACCTTCAAGAATTACAGAATTAATGATCTACCATAAGGGAACAGATAAGAATATAGTTCAAATTTTGACAGATTCTTGGAAAATTACTATTTGGAAAAGCAAGTCATTGGAAACCCCACGAAACAAGTACACCTTATCCACAAGAGAGTAGAAAAGAAAATGTGAGATGCTTGACCGGATTGCTTTAGGAAATGAATCAAGAGTCTCTTGCTGCTGCAGCCCCTCTGAATCAGTTCTAAACTTCAGACACAAGTGTGCAAGCATCTGATCTTGCAAGTGAACAGGCAAATGATTTCTTTGTCCAAAACTTGAGGCTGCCTCAATAGTATCCCTCTGGTGTGGAATGCAACATCTATCAGAATTTTCATCTATTTCAACTGCTGCAGGTAGGGTACTAGATTAGAATGGTAAGTAAGACGCCACTTACAAATTGTCTTGTTCTACTGGTACCATGGACGACCAAATTTGTCATGTTTCCTATTAGATAAGCTGTCAATCCAAGGTTGAAGAGCATGTAGAATATGTCACAGATCATTTCCCTAGTATTCTGAGCATGCAAATCTCCATATCCAACAGTTGTAAGGGTGGTGATGGACCAGTATATGGAAGTGGCATATCGAGTCCACAGGCTCTGGTGAAGGAAGTCACTCATAGATGCCCCAATCCATGTCCTGCTTGGATCAGGGTAGTGAGCCGCAAGAAAATAATAAAAGCACCCAGCACAGTGCACTGCAAATAGTGTGACCTATACAAAGAATCCAAAGCCAAATAAGACAGAGAAAGACAGAATATCATTGCTTTCATTTTTAATATACCTAGAAGTGTCAAATATCACTTACACAAATGAGCTTAGCGCATCGAACCCAAAAATAGTTGAAGTTTCTATCTTTTTCCAATCTGTATGATGAAGAGCAAATAAGGGGGTTATCCATATGAAGTAAAAATGAGCTGTAGGCTAGACCAAAAGGCCTTACCATTCTTCATAACTACAAAAAAAACACACTACCTGGCAAATAAGGCACTAACTCTACGGAGACGCCAGAGTCTAAGCATGTTGAATAAGCCATAAGTATGGAGAGGTTTAGGGGAAATCTTCCTAGCAAGTTCAGAAGGGATTGTGGATACGACATCAAATGCCAACCAAGTACTTGCGTACTTCCAAGCAATCTGCTTTGGCTCATCAACAAGAAGGTAAGTAGCTCTATCGAGGTAAGCTACAAGGAAGGTCAGAACAATGTCAATGGCAAAGAATCCATTGACAATATTATCAGTGATGGAGAGTGGGCCTGCTGGTTCTTCGAGAAACCCGAATTCGAATGGAGACACCCAAGCAGTATAGAGAACCAAAACAACAAGGAAAGTCACCCATACCCTGCAAGAATTAGTCCTTCTGAGCCAATTTCAGGGAAAAAAAACCATGTCCATCTAATTAGAAAGTTCGGAAACTATGACAACCTCTAGAGCCACAACATACACAATTTTCAATCTTCAAAATCCATGAATAGAAGTAGACGCCAAAATACACATAAAAAGTTCCAGTTTTTTCAATATTGAAGCAATCTAAATAAGATTCAAGCAATATTATTACATACCAAAAATTCTAAAAGAGCAATGTTACATATACTTAAAAATTAGACTTGATAATTACAACCATTGATTTTACTATAGGTTCCAGCATTTATTAGGACCCACTACCTATTCAATGGTTGGGATTATCAAGTCTAATTTTTAAGTCTAGTTTTTAAGTCCGTCTAGCATTATTCATTCTTAAAAATATAGTGTCATGCACATAGATTAAGACCTACCAGTCCCGGGAGAGGAGGACTTCCAGAAAGTAGAATCCATTATAGCAATAATAATTAGAAAAACTAATATCACTAGAAAAAGGGATTTTTTTTTGTTAATACCAAAAGATAACAGTATTCAACCATTACCGTCCTTGTGTAAGACAGATTTCTAGACATGGGTGCTCTGGAATGGTATTCAAATTATTCTTTTCCCTCAAAAAAATATAAAAGTCAAAATAACACCAAAGTGGCTGAAATATCTTAATCAGATACTGCATAACCAACACAGGGATTTTCAATAAAAGTGTACAAGAATATACATAGACATCCAGTCCAGGCTCCAATCAGAAGAGTTTTGGGGAAATTGATTCTCTCTCTTATACTATGCAAATCTGGACTTTCAAAACAATGTGCAGAATCAAAAACTTGTAAAATTGCACTTTTGAAAAAAAAAAAGACAAAAAGCAAAAAGATATTGTGTCGTGTAAAACGTTGAAGTTTCATATTTTTGACATCAAATCAAGACCAATACTTTATACACCTCAAGAGAAAAAGCCAACACTTCAATCCCAAGAATATACCAGAAAAGTGTTTGATAAAAGTGTTAGACTATTCCAACAACTGAGGTATGAGAAAGTGCTTAAGAAAATAAACTAAATCATTACAGAAAGAAAACAACCAAACAATTACTTCTTATGATACTTTCAAGGCATCACAAGATTCAATGAAACTATTTTTTCACATTACTTGAACATAATTTATTTACTTAATTTGTGGACAGTGGACTCGTGTACTTATTAACATCCACGATCAATCCAATGATTGTGATATGTTAGGTTAGCAAATTAGATGTAAATGGCATTCAAAAAAAATAATACAAAATTAACAATTAAAAACAAAAAAAAAGAGAGACTATGAATACATAAATATAAAACTATAGTTCAACGGTGTAACTGTGTAAGCACAGGTGTGGTGAAAGAGAGAGGGAGAGAGAGATAGATTTTCAGCAAAAGCTATAGTTCAATACAACATTTCTCCATTGAATCAACCACATAAAATTATACAAATTAATTCATGTAATCCAATAACTTTCGATTTAGACTCAAATAAAAAAAGATCTACAACCCAAAATCAAAATAAACAATAGAAAGAAAACAAAGGTTGGCACTTGACGTTACTATCAATCAGCACAAGATTCAATACCATATACACGCAAAACAAAAAGGCAGTGCAATAATTGACCGTAACCAGATGTATAGATACAGAAAGAGGGAGAGAGAGAGATGTATAGTTACAGAAAAGAAAAATAAGATTGAAAAACCTATAACGGCGATCATAGGGCGACACAATGAATCGGCGGAGCTTGACTCTACGGTTGCTTCTTGCACCCAGAGAAGGAAGAATCCCAGTAGAGAGACTGTATTGGCTACCTTCTCTGGACAATTGTTCAATCTCTTCTGCACCGCCACACATTGAAATCCTAAACAGCCCTGTGCCATTACGCGATTCCGCCATTGCTTTTCAAAACTTCCCTTGTTCGTTGTGTTCGTTTTCTCTATGTGCCTTCTCTCTCTACATATACCGGTCGTGGTTCGCCTTATATATACCACAAGACTTCCCCGCCCCCGCCCCCTCTCGTGAGAAGACACGTCACACATGGATTTTGTAGCTAATTTCGGTCCTCTGACTCCTGTCTCACTTATTACATAGCCTCTTTTTTTTCTTGTTGACATATTTACCCTCATAATTATATCATTTATGTAACTGACGGGCTAATTTTCCCGCAACATATTGATTAAATATAGATGATGCGTTAATGTTATTTAATTCTCGATACAGATAAAAAAAAATTAACATGTTTTTGTAAAATAAATAATAAATGAGTAGATTAAAAATAGATATGAATAACTTGATTTTGGCAATATACCCATTTAATAGATGTTATATGAAGGTTATGTCTTTATAATTTTGGATTAGTATTATAAGAATCGTTGCACAACTAGAGAATCCTTGTTTGGTTTTGCTAATATATGGTGAATTTGATTTAGTCAAAAAAATAAACGTAATCTCAAGTTTCTTATTCACGGTTTATGCATGTCGTTTTAACCACTAAATGAATAATAAAAAAAGTCTAATTAGTATTAACACATCTATCATGATTAATTAAACAAATCCGATTTATGATTTAGTAAATACTCAATACAAATCTATAATGACTTGCCATACACGTGTCTAGATTTACAACAAACTATAATTTGTTTTAAGTGATACTTTCTTTGTAGGGTTAAATTATTATTCTATAAATACATATACAAAAAAAAACCCATATTCACAAAATTATCATAATTTTTTTTTTTCAATTGTTATGAAATAAGATTGATATAATGGTGTGTGCTTCATTTGGAAAACCTGGTTGCCTCAAAAGATAAGACTGGATTTCATCTTCAAGATCTTTATAATTCTTTTTTTTTTTTGGTAAATAAATCTAAGATCTCAATAATTGAGGCAATTACTAAATATTATCTTCAAAATCACTTATTTCCTTTTCATTAAAATTTACAAAATTTGTCATTCCGAGAATCACTATTGTATCTGCTTAAAGTTATTATTGCTCCCTGAACATTGGTTTTGGAAAAAATCAAATTGGTGGTTGTTGATCTCCTAGCTCATTGCATTTAATGTGATTCCACTTAAATTTATTGTTTATTACGTCACGTACCAATGGATATTTTTTTGCAGTACCAACCACCAAACTTAACCTATATCACATGAGGAGTCCTTTTTTTTTTTTCCTTTAATATTTAAGAGAAGTATCCCTATCAAATACGCCCGTCAATGGATCGGGTTTAGATCATAATCTGATCCAAATTCAATTAGTCGAATATGAGTTATATTTTTTTTTATAGATAATTTGAGCATGAATCTAAATCCGTTATCTTATATTTTCACAGATTCGATTTAGATGTACATAAATTTGATCTGATTCGATCCGAATTATTTATATAAATATTAAAAAATTAAGTGATTATTTAAAAAATTTTAGTTAAAATTTAAGTATAATTTTTAAAATTTTAATTAATTAAGTTTTTCGTATCAGAATAGGTCAAATTTTGGAATATTAACGAATTTAAATATAAACCACAAAAATAAAATTTAATGAATTATCGGATCGAATTCGGATCAAACTTTTTGAAATTGGAGGCAATGGACACCCTTAGGGGGCAGCAAATCATAGTTCTATGAATCCAACATAATTTTAGCACCCGACAAGGAGTCATTTTGTCAATTGGAAAACGGTTTGATTTTTGATAGTTATATTTAGATATTATTTTTTCTTCTGTTTGTAAAATTAAAAATAAAATTTGAATTTCTCTCTCTCTCTCACATTCTCACAGGCAAACCAATGAATTTTATCTCGCAAAATCTGAATTATGGCTGCTAGTAATCAGATTTTTATCTTAATTACAGATTATATGTGAGGCCTTTGCTTCTTTGTGGCTTGTAAAAGACATCAATGCTATTTGTTAATCAAAGTGAGTTACACGAACTCGATTCAAATTTGACTAGTTCAAATTTGACTCGTTTTCGAACTTAAACAATTTTAACTCGACAGGCTTGATTCGAACTTGATAAACTCGACTCGTTTATGAATAAATACTCAGATTCGACTCGTTTTTTAAACCAATTTAAATTGAAATTACGCTAGGTTAAGAAAACAAGTTTTTTAGGCTCGACTCAAATTTGTTCGAATTCGTTCGATTATCAGCCCTAATGATGAGATTAAAATCCGAAGGCTTTCAGATCGACCCAAGGTGTTTGGTAAAAACTTACTTTATAGGATAATTTTTGTATTAAAAAAATGATTCCGTGTTTAATACAAAGTTGACTAAAATAAGTAAACATTACGTATTTAATACAAAGTTGACTAAAATAAACAAACATTAATTCAGGTTGACATAATCTAATCTTATTATATAAATATAAGGCATGGGAGTTTTATGATCTTTTCAAGGAATGTCTCATTTGTAGATCATTAAGAAAGATAATATTGAGGGCAATATAGCCGTTATGGCATGGATATTTCTTTAATTGGAAACAGAAGAATCTCTAATGCCCCGAAAAGGATAAAAACAGAGTATGATCAATTGGTACACCGTCACAATACTCATAACTCCACCGCCATTCCCATAATTCAAAGATGCCTATAAGACTGATTCGATGTTTATTGGAATTTAAAAGTAACACGATTTAAATTATGGGGATGTTTTACGGTAATGTCGGCAGTATTGGCACGCGTTTTATTATATAGATTTTTAGGGAAAAAAATATTTAGTAGATAAAAATTTAAATTGTTATGTAGATTTTTATGGTACTATCAACAGTACTGATATCGAAAGTTAAAATTTTTTAAGATTAAGTTGTAACATTTTTTAGGTGTACGTTACAACTTCAAATGGTATTATCAATTATCGTAGATTGGAATTGATATTGTGATTTTTATGATCGATCACGAGTGTTTGTGATCAGTCATAACCTTTCTCAAGTAATTGTGACTTCTCCTTTAAAAATTGTAATTTTATTATACAAAATAGTAACCAACGATACTGATACTAAATTTAATTTTTTCGATACCATAGAGTTTCCCTAAATTATATGGGTTGTCCAACCAACGTGATGTGTGTCTGTTTTGACGTGTCTAAGAGTATCTACAACAATAAAATGCATTTTACCTAAAAAAACAATATTTTCTATTTTAGCTACTCACTTTTTCAATACACACTCCCACAGATTTTCTATATTTTTAACTACTCCTTTTAAATATTATTTCTCATTTCTTTTGTATTATTTTTTTTAGAAATAGTGAAAGGAAAAAAAAGAAAGAATGAAAGAAAGGAAAGAAAGAGAGAGAGAGGGAGAGAGAGAAAATATAATATATAATGTTTATATATTGCTACAGTGACACTCTAGAGTGTCACTGTAACAACAATGTATTTACATAATGTGAAGAGCATCTGTTGGAGATGAATTTTGGCTCCAAAATAGCTAAATTTTAGCTATTTTGCTCTTTTGAAGCATCTGTTGGAGATGCTCTAATCATTCAACCCAGCTCAGTTGATTTGAACAAATTTTCCTAGCGGTAACACCTGGTATCTATATTAAAACTTACTGATTAATGTTTCAATAATGTTAGATTGACCAAATTTTGAGACCAAATTTAGAGTTCAAATGACATGACAGTTGATTTGGACTTCTTTGATTGATGTGATGTCATTTGAGTCTTAATAAAAATTTCAAATAAACAACTGTCATGTCATTTAAACTTCAAATTTAATCCTAAAATTTAATCAATCTAACATTACTCTTAAAGTTTCAACTCTTTGGGCCGCTATAATCAAATAAGCCGTCCAACCTTATTGAAGATGCCATGTAAGTGGAATTAAGTGCTAATAAGATAAAATTTTTATCACTTAAACATTGGATTATGTGATTTATTTCTATCACAAATCTTTTTCTTATTTCAACCATAATGGTTGGCAACACATGTCGACCATTTTATGAATATAAATTTCCATAAATAGGCATTTTTCATATTTTAAATCACCGCCCATGAATCAAATCATAGTATAGCAAGCAACAAAGGGCAGACCTCTTCCCAGCAGGGGTGGCCCACAAAAAAGTCAACTCAATCGTCACTGCATAGTGGTTGACTTTGGGCGTCTCAATTTTCTTTCTATTACTCAAGTAGTCCAATTCAAAATTTATTGGGAAATTAGTATCTTATTGTTTAATTCACTGATAATGATAAATATAAAAAATATCCACTTTATACTAGGGTGTCAGTGAAATTCAGTCAAATAATAACAAAATAAAATATTTTATACTTTTATGTCGGATTACTTACTTGTGTCACCTGACCATGTTGTAAAAATTAGGTTGCATCATTGAACGAGTGATCAATGATTAATAATTTTATTGATTATTCATGGAAAGACTATAATATCTTTTATGTGGTTAACTTCATTTGTTGTAAATGGTTGTAATTAGTCTTTTTTTTATATGCTATATTTATTGAGGTTTGACATTTTTTTTTATATGTTATGAATCTTTAAGTATTAAATACAATGCAGTAAATTTATATATACTATTTTATTTTTATTAATTAGACGAAAAAAAATTAAAATTTCTACATAAATTTAAATTTTTTTTTCCTATTGTTTCTTAGATGACAACTTCATTAAAATTCCCAAAAGTAAATAATAAACAAACTATATCAACTGAAAGGCTATGTTAGTCATTAAAGTAACTTTATCATCACGTGTATAAAACTGCGAATATCAATGAAATAGTTATGTTAAATTTATGAAAAAGTTTGACAGTTGAATTTGCTTGAAGTAAACCACGGGATGTTCCTATCCTCTTAAAAGTGGATTTACTTTATCCTCAATTCTATTTTGCTTTTGTTGTCTAAATAGGTGCATGAAACATAATGCATAGGGAAAAACGAAAAAAGGAAAAAAAAATGATGTGCTAGTAGTGTGTATCATATTCTTTCGTTAGCTTATTTGCAGCAAAC